CAAACAGCTTAATCGTTTGGCATAAGGTAAAGGCACCACGTATTTCTATTGATATTTGTACATGTTTCCAGAAAAATATTTTGATGAACGGCTTTAGAAAATGAAAATATTATTTAATGTATTCAATGAAAATTTATAATTTTAAGTTTTATATACATATATATTCTAATAATTTGTTAAAAATATTGTTATAATTGGTTTTAGGAGTATAAGCTTTTCAAATGGAACTTAAAGCTTACGTCGCGCAAGCTTGTCACTTAGAAAACTGAAGACTTTCGTTTCAACTCAGCGTTGAAAAGTGAGTCCGCGCGTACTCTGAAATTGGTTGAGATGTCGCAGAGATACTTAAGCTTAAACTGAGTTATATATACCACAAGCCTCTGAAAAGTAATCTTCCACTTTGCATTTTCCATTTATATTCTCGTTACGACGATTACCCAGTTCCCAATCTATGTGGAAGCGTGTGCACATGTACTATCATTTTCTCAGCTCAAAAAGTATAACGGCTATAAATAACATTATTACTTTAATTGTGTATTTTCAAGGCAATTAAAAATTTAGTTTAGTATTGCTATGAGACAGAGATTAAACTCCAATACATATACCTTATTATTATATAACTGGAATATATATAACTGGAAACTAAGACCATTAATGTTGACGACGTATTTCAAACAAATTACATTCATCGAAAATATATTATTATTAAAGCAAAGTATGAGTAAGTTGTGTAAAAATAAACCTACATATACCATAAAAATAATTGCATTTTTAAGCAGACCGTCTTTGGCTCAATCTACCCGTCAAGCCATATTAATAAGTCCGACGGTTAGATCTGGACAAAGCGCACAGATTTTTGTCAGGTATTGCAGTTAATTAGCGCGTAATATTTTTTCCTACTTGCATTCATCTCAAATATTAAAGTTAGAATAATTATAAATTAAAATCACGATAGATAGATTATTGTCATTTACATAATGAAATGTATTATGCTATCGGAAAAATGCACCGGTCATAATTTACGAAGAAATTACAAATACATTAGTCAAGAACTTTTTCCCTCAAAAAATGTCAAATAGTTGAGTCAGCTATCATCGTCAATTACGAAAGCAACATACGCGTTTTGGCGTCAATTCTTTCTCTACTCTTTGGCTTTTGTTCACACGAGATTTTCCATTGGCGAAAAGGCATTGAAAATCACCAACGGTGTGCCAGCAAATGCATTACCCCGATTATATCAGCCATGCGCGCGTACGCGCGACTCGTCGATACACTAATGCGTTCCGATGGCGACGAGGGTTTTACGAGCGACGGCACTTTATGCGCTGTGCACACATAATGTATACCTATCGTAGAATTCGTATCCAAAAACTAATGGTCTCCTACGCACATGTGTGAGTTCTTAACTGAGTACTTTGTGTAGTTAAGTTTTCTGACGATATTGTGATTTTTTATGACAAAAAGCACTTTTACAGTCCATCAATCAACAACGATCAGCAGTAACTGCTATTAGTATTTGTCAACGTTTGCCACTACTACAAGTATTTATCAGCATTTTGTGGAACTTAGTATGTAAAATCTTAAACATATCTAAAGGATTTTTAGTGCCAACATTATAGACTTTAATTTTTGTGCACCACAGCCGTGACTGTACTATGGAGCTTCTTATTCAGATCCTCTTTTAGTAATCGAAAATAATAACTATGATGATAATGCTAATTTTTTTCATTTCAGTTGTCCTTATGTGTTATTATTTAATTTATATAAAGTAGTAGTGGCATTCATTTGCTAGTAAGCCACATGGTGTCATTTTTAGATTAATATGAAGGTATGCTCTTCGTTGTTATACCATGAACTCATTGTACTCTCGAATAAAAATTTGACTATTTAAAATTTTCTTTAATCAAAAATCAAAAGATTATATCCATGTTTTAGTTTTCATTTATCTACACGAATAATATCTCTAGGCCACATAATATCCACCCCTATCTACCACAGTGAACGATGAAGATAGAAGCTTACGAAATAAATAAGATGCGACATATATTGTGACTTGATATCGAATATGAAATATTGAGCTTACAACTATTGCACCTAATTGTTGCCGTAGCTGTTTATACATTTTCTCTCAATTTTAATTTCATGATTATATTATTGCACGAGAAATCTCCAGTACTCAGACGCTTTAATTTTTTCTTTCCTTACCGTCGTTTTGGCCAACTCGCAATCCCCCCCCCCCCCCTCCGCCACTACCCAGCAGTTCAATTAATTTTCTATCTTCCACTTTAATTATGGTTTAATTAAAATTTGCGCGAACCCGTGGGAAAGTTTGAGAAGTTAATCCCTACGGACTTGGCGATACATTCATATTAGCAAAGCACCTGCTGAGCCTCTGAATAAAACGAACTTAATTATGTTATCGTAGAGCTCACGCGTACGATCAAGAACTTGTGCAGCATTGGTCTTCCTTTTTTTATTCTGCACCACAACCAACTTCTTCCTCTTACTCTCTTTACCGAGATTCCAAGCTTATAAGTAGTTGCAAATTGCTCACTCGATATTCTCCCGATAAATTTGCTTGCGTGGCTCTTTAATAATCGATAAGCCTGGGTGGGTTGTTCATCGATGTGAGTCACGTAACTGCGCACGGCTGTTTGTCGGTGTGGTGGCGGCGTAGGTGGCTCGTTCAATTGCAGCTCTGATAGAGTAGCGCGCCGGAAAAGTTTTACACTCGAAAATTTCACGGTGTAATTACTCGTTCAAAATTCGTTCAAAGTCGTTAAATATTCATTTCTGACTCCTATGCTACTACAATAAAAGTTTGCACGTACATTTAGTAGCTTGATTTAACTTGATAAAAAAAAATTATTTTTATTGTGTTATATTCGGTTATACTCATTATTATATTCACATAAATTTGTTGTACACGAAACTACGTTAGTCGAAAGAAATAATAATACTAGCCTCACAAAATCAAATTTAACTTTGAAAGTTACGACTATAGTAAAACGCAGTCAGCTACAAGTGTAAAGTCAAAAGTACCGTGGAAAGCGTCATACTCGACGCAAAACGAGTCCATTCGTTAAGCAATATTCACAGTTGAAACCACACGCACACTGAAATTTCACCATTAACTTGACCGCGCTAATTGGAATCGGAACGCGCCGTTTATTTGCGCCATCGTCGTCGTCGACACCTTAACTTTTTCGCGTTCACGACGATTTTGCGCGCACCCCTCTATCATTTACTCGGTTATGTGTGCTCTGTTTTTCATTTGGCGCAACGCGTCACGCGGGCTAATGTAGAATTCGCGATGACAACAAAAATAATAGACACGAGGGATAGGCGAAGTTTTAATTAAATTTCGTATGCTTAATGTAGCGCTTGCGAGCGAGCGACTGCCTCGCAAGAAAAGAGAGAAGTTGGACGAATTCTTCTTCCGCTCTACGGGACTCGAGCGCAACTCTGAATAACGCAATTCGCATTGTAAATCTCGAGCGCTCGCGCGCGAAAAAGTTAGCATCCGTGCGCTCGCGAGTTGTAAGTTTTAGCCGAATTGGTTTGCAGCTAGTTACAGAATTATCAACGCATGTTAAAAATTAATTTTACACGCTTGCGCGGATTTATGAGGCAATTTACGATGTTGGTTTACGACCTGCTCACATACATGCATATAGCATAATATCCCTGTAGTGGTCTCTTCCTGTACGTAAATATGAGTTTAATGCCTACACCCTCGGCAAGCACTACAAAGCTACTGCTACGTAGCACAATGCTAAACATATACCTGTGCTGCCATTGTTGCACTTCCATACGTTAGGTTTCCGGCTCGCAACCTAACAGCTTTCTGAATGGTGTCGATAAATCAACGCTTGCCGACAATTCAAATGTGTGAACTCTGTACGAGCTCCTCACTGACGGGTCTGCTTCACTAATTTTAACGCTGCGTAACGTCGTTTTCTATCCATTAATCTGCATCAATGCCTGAGTATGTGCGCTTTTTCGCGTCTTTTGAGTTTCTTTACTTTGTGTTTTATTGTTATCAGCATCCAATAATAAGGATTATTGAAATCTCAAAAACCATACTTAATAACGTTAAATAAATAATTATTGTAAAATCATCGATAATAACAAATATTACGATTTAGAATCTTAAATAATTATTATGAGAAAAAAAATGATCGATAACAATCTAAAACAATTTTTTTGTAAATAATTATAGTTTTACAATACAAAAATAATATCAGTCATAATGCCAGTGTTAAATTGATGTAACACTGAAAATTTACCTGTAAACACGTCTTATAGAGGCGTGTCTAAAAAATCGAATGAATTATCGATCGAGTGAATTTCAACAAATTTGAGTGCAGAGCGTTATCGCTGATTTTCTCGATTTTTACAACTAAAATAAGGCTTACTTTTGGCGTTAATTGTCCTTAATATGGTGTTAAAATTAATGAATAAAACTTCTATTTAAATTATTCTTTGATTTTTCGCTGATATTGATCAGCAAATTTACAATAAACCTGCTTTTGTAGTTATTATTTTTGTTCGAGTGAGGATCATTTAGATGCAAATTTTGCTTTATGTTATTATTTTTCGTTCCCATGCACTTTTAAATTGCGGTGCCAAACTTTTTAAGAAACAGTAATGCTCTTCCATGCAACATAGCAGAGTAATAATTCACGTACAGCATACGAGTAATATTTCAGGCACAACAGTTAGATGACAAAAGGCTTTCTTTTTTTTTTCATTTTTTTTGTTATTGTGCAAAAAAATTTTCAATTTATCAAAATGTACGCCATAAAACACACATCGACATCGGCGGCCGTATTCAGTCATACACTTCCCATCGTATGTTTACGGGAGCACAAAGGGGAGGGTGGGTCGCGTTAACAAAAAATGCAGAAAATCGATGACCGCTGTCGGTGTACGTTAAAAAACGAGACAGCTACCGCCAAGATAATAGAAAAAAGCACAAATATACGTTTAGCACTTACCGAGATCGAGATCACAGCAGCAGCGTTGGCTGCAATAGCATTAAATCAAAGAATTCGCATTTTCATCTTCGTCCTTCATCGGTGATGCAGAGCCCCGACTGTGTGATCGACGTCGATACTTGTACGCGAGCTGAGCCGGCGACAACATTGAAAGTTATTGCCTATACCCAATGCTTTCCTGCTGAAAACCAGAATTATTTTTATCTTTTTTAATATACATTTTTATAAATTTCTTTTTTTTTTTTTTTCAGTTGCTATCGGCATTTTTAATTTTAGTTTACTTTATTTGCATTAAAAACATTAAGTTTCTAAGAACTAAATTACGTCGCGAGCGTACGCCCTAACAGATTCTTCGTAAAATTGTCAATTATTGTCATAAGATGTAATAAATGTAGAATAGTACATTTCCTAACGGATGTACAAAGGCTTTTTTGACGAAACGAGAAGTTTAAGGTACAAGTCGAAGGCAAGTGCTATAACGAGTTTTATCAAAATGTCTTTTTATATCGGTTAAGGACAGTATTTTTCTGCATGAAAGCAGGAAAAACGTACTGAAGGTATAATTTGGAGGTTAAAATGCGACAAGCTACTGAAAAAGGGGTACAATGTCACGTTCCAAGCCGTTCGAAAATCGGAACTCAAGACCAATTAGTCATAAAAGTGAGAAAGCGAGAAAGTGAGAAAACAATAATTTAAGAGTTTATGTAGTTGACAGGCGTCGGTGACACGCCAATAATATAATCGTACTCAAGAAAACTCACGTCATTTGAGGATTGTAAATGTGCGATGCATCGCACATGTGCTTCCCGATCGAAAAAAAAATAGTTTCCTATATGGAATCCCATGTGAGGATTCGACTGTAAATATTATGTAAAATTCCATGAGGGATTCAAAAAACTGGATGTTTCTTGTAAAATATCACCTAGGATCCTACATTGGATTTCAAACAAATGAACTGTTTTTTTCAAATATCTCGTAAAATCCCATGCTGGATTTAGAAAAAAAATAATTTTTTTAAATCCCGCTTAGAATCGTCTATAGGAATATGAAAAATTCAATTTTTTTTGTATAAATTTTATAACAAGTCAAATTTGGTAGCATATTGAATATGTATAAATATACATTTTTAAATGTTTGAAAATTGATATTTTTATATTTAAAAATCCAAACAAGTATTACTTTGTATAAATATAGAAAATACGCGTAAAGGTAAATAAAGGAATAAACGAATGCTGGAAGTGGCAAAAGTTGTAAAATCAATCGCACGATATGTTGCTGTGAATTATCGATGCGACTATATCCCCGCGGTATGCAGATGGGAGCTCCCGTGTACGAAAAGGGTTAATCCTTTGGCCAATCGGGAGAGCGCCGAGAACAGGAGAACAAGAACGGTGAGGAGCTATGCGCGCGTAAAGGCCCAACGCCGCTGCGGCGGTGAGCGGAGAGGGGGCCGGAAAAGTTGAGAGATACGCAGCAGAGCGGAAACGTCATAGTTCATTTTTAGCCACCGCTCAGGCAAGTCACTTTGACCGCTTCATAGTTACTCTCTCACACGCGCATCTTTGTTCATTTTTTTATTACACTGTTTTTTGTAAGATTATAATTTGGTCTATTATTGCTTAAGCTTACTTTGTCAAACAACAATTTTCTTCTCCACTAAAGTTTTTTAATGCTAGTTATTTAGTATTCGTTCAGCTTTCAGCTAATTTTATAATTATTATGTAAATCTGAACACCACCACTGAATTTGTGGTTTCACAATTTTGGTCTTTTCCTTATGAAATAATCAATAAAAATTATCAGTTTATACACGCTAATTATTTTCATTCAAGCTCGCCTCCCGTAAGAATTTGAGAGAATATTTGTCAGATCGAGCAATATCAGATATAAAAAATGTCATACAATAACATCTTGCGTAAATTACTAAGTAATGTGGAATAAGTGCAACACATCCTTCTTTAACTTGAACTTTTCCAAAATCAAAATTTGAAGAATGGGATCAATTACGGGCCATTTTGCATCCAATTACTCAGGTCAAATCAACCGAAAGAGAAATCCTCTTGAACTCAATTTCAGTCTAACGCTCTGGCGCTTCCGAAAAATCGATGCAATTCAGCGCTAAATTGTTGAAAATTATCGGAAAGCCATTTTAAAGTCAAATTCACCTAGCAAGAGGTTTGCACACGCGAATTTAATCAGGATAGAATTATAGACACACGCGCGCGCGCAGACGAACTGTACTACACTATATATATATATATATATATATATATATATATATATATATATATATATATATATATATATATATATATATATATATATATATACATATACACGCACACACATGAGAGGAGCACGTCGATGACGGTACGAATGAGAGGGAGACATTAAACAGAAGCGATCGTTTTATAAGGGGCAAACTCATTGATCAGACGATACGCGCATGGTATAACCGACAGCCGCAAACGTGTATGATGAGAGAACTATTCGTGTAATTTGCGAGCTTGTCTGGTCCACGTAAGGAATTCCCAATCAAGCTGGCGCTGGCCGCCTCTTCGTCCTATAGTGTAATGACCGGACGATCGCGTGTAGCTCTCAGCCCTACGCAATTGTCTATGCTCCGTTTGTGGGCCATGATTACATGGAAATAGCCTCGGTAGATTACTATTTCGTATTGTTTGGAACTTGTGGGAACTTGTGGGTTCATAAAAATTGCAAACCTCAAGCTACTTCGCAAATGTAAGTATTCTTTTTATCAAGCTGCAATGTGCGATCGCGAATATTTTTAAAAAAAGTTACAAATCGATCGGCTGCAACAAAGTTAATCGTTATGCATCCCGTGATAGACTAATTATTTCATAAAAAAGAAAAACCGTTCGTTTTGCTGTGCACAACAAATTTCTTTCACTTATTACATTGAAACACTGGAATCCGCATTGTTTGCTTTGTTGGAATTTTCATAATTTTAAGCGTTCCGTACAGAAATACATATACGTGTCGACGATAAAATTCATCAAAAGCTCGGAACGCATATGGAAATTTTACGATGGCCTAGGCGCCCGCGTGAACACGCGCGGAAACTGCTGACGTACGCCGATGTTCTGTAGAAGTGCATTTTATGACCCTTAGTACTACAGCAACGCTTGTCTTTGAAATATTCAGAATTTATAGAATATTTTACTAAACGGATTTAAATTATTTGGCACCTTAGAAATTTACAAGGCATATATATCTATATATATATGTGTGTGTGTGTGTGTGTGTGTGTGTGTGTGTGTGTGTATATATCGCTAAAATAATCGTACTTATATTTTTGCCAATATCTCCACAAATTACGTATCCTCTGTTTATTACTCGATTAAATAAACGAGAAAAGTAACATAATCAAATTGCGGTTGTTGCAATAAAGAACCTATACGAAAAAAAACTCGTGATATTTTGTCAATCAATACGCAATTTAATAAACTAACCCTAGATTCAGTCTGGTGAATCCAACCAAAGAAAACGAGTAATCCGACAACGAGGAATTTCTCACTTTGACCCACACAAAGGCTTCGCGATAATTAAGCCAGTTAAGCTATCTATCACTTTAACTTTCCACGCCTTCTCTCGGAGCGAAAGGTCCACAAGTTCACTCCATTTCTGAAGCGCACGGCTATGCCAACGGGTATCCGTTTAGCACGGAAACGGCGACAAGAAATTTCATTTGTCGCTCCAACACGTTATGCGAACCTGGAGGCTTTCACACTCAGCAATGATCACCTACATGAGGATGCGAATGGATATAACTGCTATGACGATATCATTGAGCTAATTCGTTTTTGTTAAACCCAATAAGTATAGCCAAGAGAAAGTCTTATTGCTTTTCAATTTATTAATTATATTTTATGACGCATTAACAACATGGACTTAAAAACTCAAGTAGATAGAAGGATATTTCACATAAACTATTATGTAAAGATTCTATGAAAGAATAAATAATATCCTAAATTTCGAACACATCGTTAAATATATATTTAACTTTTTCATCTTTTTAAGTTTAGTATATTTGAAAAAAAAAATTATTTCAATATTGTTGTGCTTAAATAAGAACTTAGGGATTAGGTGTGTAATCATAAAAATTCATTGTAAATACATTGAGTACTTTGTACTGCAAAGCTTTTTCTCTAAAAAGATTTCTTACTTTTGTATGATCTCGACTTTTTTGTGTATAAGCGAACATTTTGACGCCCAACGCATGACACAACCCTCAAATGATTGGTAATATAATCAATAATTGCACAAATTACTAAATCCTCTAATAATTTCAATATAGCGTAACAGTATTTCAATACATAGTACGTATGTTCCACGTATTTCACAATACAAACGACACAATGTCTTATAATACCTACTATTGGACGAATAAACATGGCGCCTAGCTCGCTTGCCCTCACCCCGTTATTTACTCTCTCCCTCTCTCCCTTGTTTATATTCGCGTCTCCAATATATACACGTGTAACGCAGAGTGAATGCTCGTCGAACCTCATAGTCGATCGAATACACAATGTCTGACCGACGCTAAGCTAAAGGATGAAATTACACAAGCTCCTTCGGACGAAGCTGCTGCTATATATATTTATATGCTATATAGTTGTAAATTGTGTGACTATTCGTCCGTGAACTCTTGCAAGTGGCTAAGAATAGTAGTACGAATTATGGCCAGTTATCAGGGCTTTGTCAGAATTACAACTGCTATTTGCTTTTTCAAAAAGTGTAAGTAACGCTTGATTTTTCCTTTAGTCGCTAATATTTATACGTAATGAAATTATAGATTTCTTTTAATAGACTGGTTAGCTGGCATTCCTTTGATTGGTGCACGATCAACTCCAAACAATTGCTTCGTAAATCATAATGAACTTAAAATTTCTAATTTACATGGGAATTTATTATTATTAGTCTTTAAGATCCGATGAAGTCCAAGCTATCATTTCAAACGATGTGAGCAAGAAGTTGAATCAAAAGTGAAAGTAATGATCAACAGAAAACATAAATAACGTTTTCATTTTATATACAGACAATGTATTGTAATTGAATTGAAATTTCGGATATCAAGACTATTCTTTAATCGTAGAATCGCAAGTAAATACGCCATTAAATTTGATTATTTATATCAAATGTATTTATAATTTTAAATAAA